ACTGTTGATGAGTGACTATGCACCAAAAGGATTTAAAGTAGAAATGACTGATTGTTTTTCCATATATAAAAGCTTAGATTTATGGTTCTTTTAAGATTTTTTTAATAAGATTACCTTTTGAGATAAATAATAAGATGATTCATCCTTTCTTTGTAACCAAAAAATTGCAGCCTGCCAGTAAAAGAACTGGCTGAGAAAAATACCTGGCTTGCTTACACTTTGTTAATCTATAGCAAGTTGCTTAGACATGATGTATATGGATCCTTAGAAAAAATTTCATTATTCACCTGTAATACACTGAATGTTTAATCATGAAAAGGAAATGAGAAACATGTTATTTAATGTATATTCATTGTAATCATTCACTTGAAAATCGGGATGTAACCACATTGTAATTTTTATACTGCTTAAAAGATTTTGCTGGGGAAAAAAGCTGTAAGGGAAAAAATAAAGATATACAGAAGGAGTACATCAGGAAAGAGGTAAAGGGAGGAAAGAAAGAAGGAAGGAGGGAGGGAGGGAAGGAAGGAAAATCCTGACATGTTGAAGGTGTGTGTGTGTGTGTGTGTGTGTGTGTGTGTGTGTGTGTGTGTGTGTGTGTGGTCTTACAGCTGCAGACCATGCAATATGAACCCACCATCAAGGATCACCTAGAAAAGTCTAGTTAAAAACAGAATACACCAAGAGCAGCATCCCCTCCCTAGAGTGCTTGAGGAAACTCAGTTTTCCCTTGCAGTTTGAGAAGATAAGCTTTTGGTTTGTTTCAACCATCCTAAAACAAAACAATGTTTGTGCTTGGAGATGACTGTATAAAAAGGGACTTTGACATCAGGTTCATCAATTAAGACACTTATTTGCACAAGAATAACGAGTGTAAGTATAAATTAAGGAATAGATACAATAGGAAGGGAGACATTGGTTGGTTAACTGGGTAAATAGCATGCTTCCTCAGGGATGCACCTTGCATCTTTAAGCACCTGATGAACCTGGAGTAGGGTGCATCTATCACCTCCACCCCCTCAAAGCAAAGTTAACTATTATATTTGTACAGATTTTCATTCTCTAGGTTTTTTAAATATCCGTTATTGAATCAGAATGGGTTTGATGCGATTAATAAAATTAATAATATTAAAATTAATAAATATGACACTCAAAAACTAATTGATCTTTCAATTACCAAAAATAAAATCCAGATTGTTTCTAAGGCAATATATTCTCTCACAGCCATCCATTTCACTGACAGCCATTCCTTCGGTCAATCGGAAGTCAAAAATATCTGGAATGTGAATTTCCACTTATAGCTTTCACAGCACAAATACCATGTCATTGCACATACCAAACTCTTGTACAAAATGCATGTCCTTACTCTGTATCCAAGGCTGGCCTCAAACTCATGACAATCTTCTGCCACAGCCTCCCAAACGCTAGAATTACCGACATGAGCCATGCTGTCTAGCTTTTAGTCAAATGTTTGACTAGAGTTCACAATAACGTCTAACTTACCATTTCCATCCTACAATTTTGTTTTCTCACTTTGTGTTTCAGTGTTTTACTTGTTATTTCCCACTTGATTAGACCAATCTGAGTGGGGGTGGGGTGTGACTCTGTGATTCAACCATCACTTAGAACACATTTGACTTTTGGTTTATTTGTGTTTGTGTTTTTCTTTTTCTTTTACCAAAAAAGTGCATTAATTTTGTTTTCAAGTGGTGACATCACACTGTTGTGTTGATTTCCATTCCTTGAGGATCTTTTGGAAACTATTTTATCTTTAATTGTTGTTACACATATATTACACATGTGTGTAAATTCCTAAACACATAAATGCAACTGGCTCAGTCTGTATAATGCTATAATCTCAAAAAATTAAAAAAGAAAATGTAAAATAAGATTATATATCTTTAAAGTTACTTAAAATCAGACACTGAATCAAGTTCTTATGTAAAGGAAATATGTTTGGGAAGCTATCTCAGAACTATGAAAAAATTTGGAGAAGGAAATAAGAAGAAAAGGTCAGGAAAGGGTGGATCAACTGATAGCTGCCTGAGTATGAGCAATTGGAGTCAATCTCTCCCTAGACCTCCTAGGAACCTCTGTGGGGTGTGCTCTAATTCTCTAGGCCCTTCACAAAAACATTTCTGGTAGCTCCTGCTTGCTTTGATGATCAGCTTCATCCAGGTGATAAAGAACAAGGCCAACGTCACCGAGACACTGCAGGAAGATTAGTGTGTCCTTGGCTCATCATACAAAATAAACATCAGCTCTCACAGGAAAGGGGAGCTGGCAAGAAGTATCAGAAGAATAGAACAATCTTACCAGGTAGACAGACAAACTTTCCCTTCCACAATTAATCGGAAAACAGTAGCAAAGAAAGTAATTGGATGTTAACAAGTCATTAACTGCCTCGGGCAACATTTACACTTAAAGTCCTTTGCCTTAAAACATGCCTGACATCTGCTTAGACAGCACAAGAGAAGTGGCCACATATCCGTGTTTCCTGTTTTGTATCTGATTAGCATCTTAGTGTCGAGAACTGAGGTGCAGCCCGCTGGGTAGGATATGTTTCACCAGCGTTGTATACTATTGTCACAACGACTTCATGGGACAAGTGTTTAGAGTTCTAAATGTCAGTAAAATGGAAGCCCAGAAAACTTACAGTTTACCTAAGATCACTCAACCAAACGGTCACTCTGGAACCACAGGGAGTTCAGCTGTCAGGAGCACTGAGTGCTGGTGTCACAGTCGTCTGTAAAGAAGCCAAACCCCTGGCAGGATGGACGAAGAGGAGGCTGAAAGTGGGGAAAGCAATAACTTCCTCATGTAGCATGGAGGGACACACCTCTGAGGGACAGATGGATCCTCATGGGCATGGGTTCCGTTTCACCACTGATGAAAAGGAGCCCAAGGGAGTGGGAGAAGAAAGAGCTAAGAATCAACACGGACTGGGTTCCAAGTCAGAGGGGAAACCCACCTTTAAGAGTCCCTCCCTGGCCCTGTAAAGAGATTACTACATAGAAGTAGGAACTAGCCCTAAATCCTAATCTGAGCCTCGGGTGGCAAGAAAGTTCCCGGATAAGGGTGTGAGTGTGTGACATGAAAGGAGGGGTTGGAGGAAGAGTGGAGTCCTCGATAGTAACCCTCCAGAAACTAAAATGTCTTTGGTGTGCCCCCAGTCAGGTTGGGGAAGGCAGCTTTTCCTGAAGGCCTGCTGGTTAAAAACCACACAATTGTCTGTGGCCATGCCTGGAAGATCATATGTGGGCTTCTAGTCAGGAGCGGAACTCCTCAGAGACTTCCGCCGGAGGCTTGAAATTCAAACACGATTTTGCTCCCTCTTCACTAAGCCTGGGAACTTCATTTGTACATGCAGGAGGTATGGCCACTTTTGGTCCAGAAAGATTTAAACAGATTAATTATTGTTCTAGTTGTCACTGAATCTTTTAAAATATTGACACAGGAAAAGGATAGAAGAGGGAGAAAAATAACAGAAATGATTTTTTTTTTAGTTTTTGAGATTAATAATGTTGACTAGATTAAAATAAATATAATAAGCAATCACTTTTGAAACTTCAGTGGTAATACCCAGTACCGATGTATCAATTGTGAGGTACCTGTACCAATTCATAAAAGAAAAAGTTCTTGCTTATTGTGAATCTTGCATAATCATATGAGCATGTCACTGAATTGAATTTATCTGGTATTAATCATTTCCATTCTGATGGGTACACATAGTCTTTGTGGTGACTGTCAAAGAGCCAATTCTCCCTAAGAATTATTCCCCAAATATTCCATTTTTAAGAGTTGTTTACAGATGACAAACCTTTTTATGACCATTGTTAATGACAGACAAGAACACTGGGTATTAATGATTTATTAGGTGTAGTAATAAATGGACAAAAAAGTCACAAAATTTCAGTGAGATGTACAAAATATTGATAACCCTGACTTGCAGTAAAGTCTGAAACCTCTAAGCTATGTTCTCTGTGTTGGATTATTTCTACCTTCCAAAGGCTGCATTTGTCTCTTTCCTCTTACGGATTATAGTCCCTCCTCAGTCCTTTCTCCAAAACTCACTCACAATCCAATCACAGCCTAAGCAAGTCTCAACAGAGTGGTCTCTAAGATCAGGCTTCACCGAAGCCCATGTACGTAATAACAATGAAGGATGTTTTTCACAGCATGTTGAAAGCAGGCGTGTGCACATGTCCCTCAAGATGGCCAATTAGGGCCAAACTTCCATCCTTCTGATTTCCCAGATTCATCTTAAGAAGAAAATGAAGGAGGCAAAAGAAGAAAATATAACAAATCTGTAAGCTCCTTCTATATTATGAAGTATCTATCGATCATCTATCTCATGTATACACACACACACACACACCCCCAGCCACCACAATAAGGTTACCCTTCGACATTAGTTCCTGGCTTCAGATCATTAGGACTGGGGGCGGGGGTGTGTGAAAATGTGTGTGTGTGTGTGTGTGTGTGTGTGTGTGTGTGTGCATGTGACTGTGTGTGCATGTGTGTTTGTGCCTGTGCCTGTGCCTGTGCCTGTGCCTGTGTGTGTGTGTGTGTGTGTGTGTGTGTGTGTGTGTGTGCGCGCTCGCGCTGCAGAGAAATTAGAAACAACCAAGATGTCCACCCACTGAGGGACTTAATGGCATCAATACTGTTAAAGTTTGAATCTCACTTTGCTCTCTATCCATACAGGATGGTGAGTCATCCAGGAAAGAGTATCTTGCGACAGAAATCAAATATGTGCTAATGAAGAAACAAGAAGCAAGTAGTTTGGACAGTCCTAGTCAATTCTTGATTCCAAAGGGAAAAAGATGTATCCTTTAAAGCCTTATCTAAGTCTTCTCAGCTTAGATAAAGCACATAACCATCGAGTGTGAAGGGCTATTAGACCTTTCTTTAAGGCAGCTCCTGCCAAGAAATGCTTATGGTGTAAATCTGCTGAGGTCACAATATCCAGATCATAGAAACACATTTGTGAAGCTCACCGTTTGGAAGGAGTCAAGCGCTGTGCTGTTGCTGGGCCTGGACATCTCAGCTGGTGAGCACTGCTGTCTCGGTTCTTCATAGGCAGAAAATCCTCCTCTGTACCACGGCCTTCTCTCTTCCCTTTCCGCCGCTGGAGTCTTGCTTCTCTGTCTTACTGTTTACCTTCCTGCTAGCCTCCTCTGCTCCCCGAAGTAGCTTTCACCACTTCCCTCTGTGGATGCGCTAAAGGTACAAAGGACAACTGACACTACATCCTAGGAGTCTTCATCTCGATTGCCTGGTAACAAACAAACAAAATATAAACAATGTGGTCACGTTTCATTCTAGAGAAATTAGGTCACTTGTGATTCCCAGAAAGATATGTGTTATTTCTCCCCTAAAGATTTGCAGAGACTTCAGCTCAGAAAACAAACACATAGGGCTAGCCTGACCCAAACATATGGCCTGTTTAGTATGATCTGGGGCTCTAAATTGGATCCTGAGTATTAGGAGAGACTATCTGGGATTTGAATTAGAAAATAACAGATTCTTTGGAGTCGCAGAATGGTTAGGTGCCAGAGATCATTTGATTTACATGCTTAATATTCACAAAAGAAGAGAGAGACAAGAGCTCCACAGGCTAAGGGTACTTACGGTCACCTCATTAGTTGGAGATCACTTGGGGTGTTTTGGTTGTTTTCCTCTGTTCTTTGTTCTAGTTTTTTTTTCCTTTAATTGCATAGCCTCTGCAAAAAAGAAAGCAAATTATAATTATCAAACCAACTAGAAGCCATGTTAGCAGACTCTCCTCTATTTTATCCCTAACAAAGAGACTTCATTTTTGACCTAGTCCAAGTCAGAGACCATTCTTTACTTTACAAATGCATGACCTGCTTATTCTCTCATTTTAGGTTCTTGGTTTAGTGACTCAGAAGTGAGTTCTTCCCTCATCTCCAGAGCTCATTGGCTCCCTGCTCTATCCTTCAGCTCAGCAGATGTTGCTCCAGTAGCACCCATTCTCTGTTTTCAATTTCTTGTCTCCATTCACTCCACATGGCACCTGGAAACAAGCAGTGTAATCCCCACTCTCAACCTCCACCCCCAACCCAAGCTTATAGAAATCCTCAAGGAGAACACATTTGAAGGGGTTTGAGGCTAGCTGATTATATGAATTTTTGTAATTGCTTGGTTTATAATGCCAGGAGTACAGATTCTTTATAATAGGGGCCTCTACTAAGTGCTCTGGCATAAGATTAACTATCAATAACTTTGATTCCAGAGCCAGTGCAATGAGGACACACAGAGATTTGAGTTCTGCATCCTCAGCAATTGACATTACCCTGAAATGCAAGGATGCAGGCTAAGTCTGAGTCTAGAAGAAACCAAGAACCTCCACACGAGGCAATCTCTCTAGGGGCAGGTGGGGCCAGCTGTCTTCTTACCTCTGCAATTACCATGCCCCAGATTTTCGGAATCCCTTCTTGCCTCCTGATATTGTAAACCTCTTGATTATTTATTCTTTTCTTAGTCTACATCATTGTTGTCACTCTGTGAATTCCTCTTTTGTACCCTCCAACAGTCTGTACCACAGAACCTCTCCTTACTCTCAGGCATCTCCTAGGCATGCATCTCTTAGAATATTCCCCAATTTACATTCAATCCAGGCATCTCACTCTTTACAGAGACTTTCACTCCTCTGTATCTCTCACTCAGTGATTCCTCATTCTGCCTACTCCTCGTTTTATCCAAAGGATCCTTTCACTTTCTCCCAGTTGATCACCTTTGCTGTCATTTCCTTAAGTGGCATTCTAAAGTACTAAAAGACTACATACCTTTCCTGGGCAACCTCCTTCATCCCCAATAGATGAGACAATATCAAATATTTTGTTTGTAGCCCAGAATCCCCTTTTAAACTCTTGGTCTGTGTGGTAAAGGGCTTACTGGCCATTTGATCACTGAATATTATAAACCACAGACAGTTTGGCAGCTCTACAAATGGACCATTTCCTCCATAGACTTTTCTCCTAGAAGGCAGTGTGACTTTGCCATCACACTGGGAGTGGGCTGCTTTTACCCAAGAGTCAAAGAGTTCCTGATTTTAAAATCTAAGCAAAAGAACCAATAGTAAAGTGTGTTTTGTGGCTGTCTTCCACTACTGGGGATAGTCTAAGAAAATATGGACGCAGAGGCCGAAGAATTACCATAAGTTTGAGGCCAGTGTGGTCTGCATAGCAAATTCTGAGCCAGCCAGTGCTACACACTGAGACTGTATTTCAAAATGTGTGTGTGTGTGTGTGTGTGTGTGTGTGTGTGTGTGTGTATAAATTATCTGATTAGGTTACTTTTCAGGGATTCGAAGACACATTTTATTGAAAGCACCTACTCTTGATTTAGCCTACAGATAGATGGCCAATGAGTAATTGGAATGAGATGAAACTGTTTAGCATTTCCACTTTCATAATTTGTGTCTCCCTGGCTATCAGAACCTTTGGATCAGATTATTACACAGTTATTTATGTAGACATATTGATAATTTGAGAAATGATTTTTTTTTCTGGAGCCATAACACGGTAAGTTTGCCTTAGAACTCATCTGGTTTCTCTTCTCCCCCATGAAGGCTAAAATAACCACCCCACAGGACAGGAAACACCAGACCATGAAAGGGGTGAAAAGAGGTAGCATTTGAGTTCCTGGAAGATTGCAACTTACTCCAAGAAAAGGTCTGCCAAGTTCTCCCTCATTAGCACTGCTCTCTCCCTTGCTATTCTCACGCTATTCCTGAGAGTCTTCAACTTCTTGGAACTGATAAGCTGATTTGCCAATGACACTCCCACTTCTTCATCTCTGGTCTTGGAGTGAGAATATGCTGTTGAAGCTCTTTGTTCATTTCCATTTCATCAGCTTCGTGGCTCCAAAAGGGACAAGATTCCACTTTAGGGGCTTCTTTGACCCAAAGGAACCAACAAATCCTTAGTAACACTCTTTTGTATCATCATCAGTCACCAAATCCTATAGACATTGTTACTAACCACTTTGACAAATTTATTGAGCAAGTATGTATTATTAACTATATGCCAGACATTAATCTAAATGCTTTGGATACAGCAGTGAACAAAATAGGCAAAGCCTCAAGCCCATGAAACTTACATTTTGTAGTGAGCACATAATGTATGCTGAGGAATGAATTGTATTCTTACTTGTACATTGAGATTCCAACTCTTAGCACATCATAACATAACTGTGTTTGGAGATAGGGTTTTTACAAAGATGAGATAAAGTCCTTAGGGTGGACTCTAATCTAGTATTATTTGTGTCTTTATAAGAAAAGAAAATGTGGACTTGACTACAGAGGGAAGACAATATGAAGACACAGTGAAGGTTAGCTGTCTGCACCCCAAGGGGAGACATCAGAGACAAACCAACCCTGCCAGCACACTACTATCAGACTTTTAGCTCTCAAAGTTTGAGAAAATTAATTTCTGTTATTTATTCTGTCTATGGTACTTTATTGGGCCACCCCTGGAAAACAAATTATTTATGATCTTTCAGGAACTCAAGTGCTACTTCTTTTCGCCCCTTTCATGGTCTGCTGTTTTCTGTCCTGTTGGGTGAGTTTTTTTCTTTTTTTCTTTTTTCTTTTTTGTCTTCATGGGGGAGAAGAGAAACCAGATGAGTTCTAAGGCAAGTTGATCAAGTTTAATTTTTTTTTTTGCTTTAAAGAAAAGAAAATTACAGAAGGTCAAAGTGATTTAAAAAAAAAAAAAAAAAAGAGGAGACAGGGAAAGTGATATCCAGGAAAGGGAACAGCCACCGGTGTTCTAGGGAAGAAAAGGACTTTGTGTAGGAAGCATGCTGGGAGGGAAAGGGGACAGAATATGAACCGAGAAGTGGATTAGGCCAGATTCCAAAAGGCTTCTTAGCTGAATACAGAGTTTGGACTTTCTGTCGCATCTAACCTTAGCACTATTAAAATTATTTTACCAAATAATTCTTTGATGTGAAGGGCTGTCCGGTGCATTACAGGGTGTTAGTAGGCTCCATGGACTCTACCTAGGAGACCCCGATATCAGGCCTTGCCCTTCTGTGCTACCTCCCTGTAACAACATTTGTTGCTGTCAAATGTCACCTGGATACAGAGCAGCCTCTGCTTGGGAATCAATGACACAGATGAAGCAGAAAACCATTGAAACCACAATCAGGCAATTAAATGGTTCCAATGGTTTTCTCTGAATAAATATAACAAGAATGGATTGGGTCAAGGGAGGACAAATGGAGAAGTGAAGAAATCTAGACAGGCTGTCAAAAAGAGAAAAGAGGGCAGACTTAAGAGATATGGGTGATAGACTCAATAGAATTTGTGGTATGTGAGGGCTAGGGACGGAAGAGTCATGGATATCCTTCAGTTCCTGTTGTAAGTCCCTGGGTGAGTGCCAGGGGAGAGAAGCAGGTCTAAAGAATGTTGGAGCATCGTTCTTTCCCAAACATGGAATTGCCTTTTTAGAAAATATTTGCCATTATGGGAGAGATGTAGATGGGGATGAATATGTGAATCCAATGCCCCAAGGAAACATTAGAATCAGAGGCCAGAAATTTGAGAGTCCTCTTCTGTAGATAGAAAGCCATAAAACAAGATTATATCCTCTAGACAGCATGGAAAGAGGAAAATTAATTTTTCTCACCTACTTCTTTAAGGAATTAGCAGCACATAGCTTTTGCCCATTTTTCTATTTGAAGTTTTCTCCATCATTATCATGCAGGGGATGGCTTTAATGCTATGAATATTATAGTCTAGCTAATAGAAAAGCTGAATCATTTTTCCTGTATGGATTCTAAACTGAGTACCATGCCTTTAAAAACAAAATCCTAGTATTGCAAAACTATACGATTTCACATAATCCCGCCAAGGATGGGCCTAATCACTGTCACCAATTCTTTTCAAGGTTGAAAACACTGTGTAATTCCAGAGTAACCCACATGCACATTAAGTGTGCATCAATGAAGGCTCAGCAACACTTTAGAATTACTGAGATACTTCCTAAAACACTCAGCTTGGACCAGAAGCCAAAATGGGTTTTCCTAAGTCAAGAGCTGGGGCATTAGGTCTACCAAGATGACCAGAAGTCCTGTCTGTCTTACTGTCCCATAGATTAACCAAAAGAGGGAAGAGAGGCTAATGAAAACTGGGACTCCATAAATTTGTCTCTTTAACAAGCAGTAATGATTGTACAAAAAAAGAGGAGAGTGTACACTGTTTATCCATCTCACAGTCACCACAGGAGAAAACCCCCGAGGGCTGCCCTTGTTTCTTTTCAGTATCACAGAGCAAACCAATGCTCTCTTACATATTAGGCAAGGACCCTCCCATTGAACTCCAACCCCACTTCATTTCTGCTTTTAATGCCTACCCTACCTTCTAGGAAGAGGACCCAGCCCACAGAATAACAGAATCTTAAGCATAGATTAACTATTCTTCCTTTAGCAAGAAATACGTGTGAAGTGGGATGAAACAAGAAAATGTCCCTTGGGTGCTTCCCAAAAAGGATGGAAGGAGAGATGGGGCTTCCCTTTCATATGAATGAGGGAGAAAAGAGATTTCCCATCAAAATCCACATAAATTTTTCTATTATCAATTTCAGAAACCATCACACTTTCATGCTTGTTACTAATAAGCAACATGCAAATATCTTCACTTCATTTTTTCAGTAAGACTGGTGCTATACAATAGACTGGGGGTCTTGGATTTGGG